GGATGTAGGAGACCTCTGTATAAGATTTATTGTTCTTGTGAGTGCATCTTTGTTGCCCTTGCTGAACAAAGGATTCCAACTGTCAGAAGGACGCCACCCCACCCAGTGGGCAGGGTTGTAACTTGAAACTTGTTGACACACGAACCCTTCTGCCTATAAAACTGCTGCACAAAAGAATAAACTTTGAGTTAGTTTGGAATGACAATCTAGAACAGTCTCCGTGTCTCTTTGTTCTTCCAAACTGCTCCTGGTACTCCGGCCGGTACCGTAATTAACCGTTGATCATGCTTGAGAATATTTTGATTTTGTTATAGGTTAAAGGATGAACTGATGATCCCAGCCCACGCCTCAGAGAAACCCGGAACGGAGTTTCTTACAATGGTTTTTTTCAATTTTGTTGCCCGGGTGGAAATTCGGGAGAATGGGTGGCTCCGGGAGATTTTCGGGAGGGGCACTGAAATTCGGTATTCTCCTGGAAAAATCGGGAGGGTTGGCATGTATGGTTGTGGCAACATCACTAACCTTGTCAAACACCTCAGAGTAAATCACAGAATATGACGAGCGTATGTTGAGGCGAACTGAAGAGGAGGACAGGGACAGGTGCTGCTAGGGCGAGACTGACGTCTCTCACAGAGTCCTTTACTGCTGCAGGCAACGTGTTCAAATAGGGCAAAACTTCATATTTTTTATTTCTATATGATGAACTCCGCATTATTAAGTGATAAGAACAAGAAATCTGATGTCCTGTAATCATTATGATGCTATAATTTGAGATACAATAAATAAAATAAGTTTTTGTACAAAGTATCGGTATCGGATCAGTATCGTCCATACCACCCTGGATATTACTTGGTATCGCACATCACTAGTGTTTAAGAATCTTGGTGTTCATATTCATAACATGTTTACAGATGTATTTGTTATACTAGAAAGTCTTGGTGAGGATTATCAGGTGTGGTGTTCTAGAAGATTTGTACAATTACATTTTTATATACATGAGTGTGAACGACCATACTATATACACAAACACACACACACACAAAAACATTTACAAAATTGTTAAGGCGGGTAACACCAGAGGTTCAGTATGGCTAGCTTTGGTTATGTGAACTCCACATGCGGAGGTAATAAGGCACATATAACTCTTTTTTCATGTTAGCCACATGTAGGGCAGCTGTCACCTCACAGCAAGAAGGTTACTGGTCTGAATGGGTACCATGAGTATCTAAGTCAGCTAGGATAGGCTACCTGATAAGGAGACCTGGTTACAGATAATGGACAAAGCATATCTTACTTCTCAGCAGGTGTTCATAAAGTTTCCTCATCTTCATGAGGATGTCACGTGCAGCACCTTCCGCTGGTTCGATGTGAGTGATCACGTCCCCTACTACACGGCCCTTTCAGTCAAACTGTCCAAGAAACAGAATTAGTTGGTAGCCCAGGGCATGTAGCTTTGAAACCTGCAAGAACAACAAAGAAAAACATGCAGCCAGTCTTTCATGTAAGCAAATTGATGTATAACAAACCTTTAAGTTTCACATCTTTGTTGTTTTATTGTCGTAGTTAAACAGTAATTATGGTGACCAAACCTGTAAATTTCTCTTTTGTCTCTCAGTTAATAGCCGATTAAATTAAAAATCAGAAGTAGCTTAAATTAAAATAGTTGAAGTTTTTTCTAGTTTGATGTCTTTAGTGTGATGATGTTATTCTGATGTGAATAACTTTTTTATTTATGCTCTTTTATAAATTAATATTTTATGTGTTTAAACATGTCTCGTTAGTTTCTTACTTCATCATATTCAAGGAAACATTGATAACTGTGATAAATATAGAATTGTCTGGCAGACCAACCCTAGATCAGAACTTTGAGACTTACTGACAACTGGGCAAAAATAACCACCCTGCTCGCATTTGTTTTTTTTAACAGAAGCAGCCCAGATGCTGTTTTTAAGCTTTTCTTGTTTGTTTTCTTGTTCCTTTACGTTCAGGCTGCCCAGGCATCCACTGCATGTCTCCCTGTTGCAGGTGTTTGGAGCCTGACAGGAAGGGCCTGGTTTGGTTTTTGGCTTTGTCATTTCTGCAAATGAAAACGAAACATTTAGGGATTATTTCAGGTCTGTTTTTGTGAGATGATTACATAAATAATTTCTGAGCAACGAAATTACAAATATTATGAAGGAGTATTACACCACATTTAGAAAAAAAAAATTAATTATGAGATTAAAGTCTTGAATATTGAATTCATTACAGAAAAATAAAATTTGCTAAAGTAGAGCATTACTAATGTTAACTGGGTGGCCAAGCTAGTGTATTTCACATGGGAAAAATTACAAAAGAAAAAAAAACTTCTTGGTACACTGACTGCTCTATGAAAATATTTAATAATGGATTGGATTTATATAGCGCTTTTCAAGGCACCCAAAGCGCTTTACAATGCCACTATTCATTCACACACACAATCACATACTGGTGGAAGCAGCTACAGTTGTAGCCACAGCTGCCCTGGGACAGACTGACAGAGGCGAGGCTGCCATATCGCGCCATCGGCCCCTCTGGCAAACACCAGTAGGCGGTAAGTGAAGTGTCTTGCCCAAGGACACAACGACCAGGACAGAGAGGCCAGGGATCGAACCGGCGACCTTCCGGTTACAGAAAAAAGGCACCGAAATAAAATGGCTTCCCACCCCTAAAGCTACAGGGTCAAAATAAAAGGCCCATTTACACTATTTACAACACAGCGAAAAGCTTCTCATCCTAGAAAACAGATTCACACGCAGCCATATGGGAACAGGGAGTGGCAGCGAAGGGTGCCCCTGCCAATTTGTGTCCGGCCTCTCCCAGTCCTCCACCAATGGTCAGCCTCCACCTGGAACTTACATAACACCAACAACACAGAAAACAAACTTTGAAAAAATGTTTGTCTGAAGTGAAAATGCAAAAAAACACTTCATGAAAATTGCACCAACTCATCTTCATGGAATCTGTTACTGATACTAAGTGAGCAGGTAAAACAGGTCAGACAGGTCTCTCTTTACAGAAATAGACATGCATAACAGACGCCGTGTGAGCTTTTAGGATTGAGAAACATTTAGTGATCTCATATGGGCGATACATTTGTGGCGACAAACAAATTGTGCTTGCTGTAACTCTGGCCTAGTGAGTTACAATGAGTAAATGAAAGAAGAACAGTTTCTTCCAGGTGTTTTTATTTCTTGCTTTCTTCTTTACAAGATATTTAATTTTTGTAGACTTTAAACCCTGTAATATGTCTGGGGTGGCTGTAGCTCAGGCAGTAGAGCAAGTCACCTACTCCAGGCTGCTTCAGTCTCATGCCAAACATCCTTGGGTAAGGTCTTGATGCTCAGGCTCAGTCATCCAGGTAAGTAAATCCCAAAACGTTGATTCTGTTCATCTGGATGTTTTCAGTGGGAGAAACATTTCGTCACTCAGTGACTTCTTCAGTCTCAGCTGACTGCAGGTTTCCCCAAAAGTACATTGCACAATGACTGAAACTAACACTACTGAATTAACAATGGGACAACTACTGATCAAAGCCCATTGATTGAAATCTCAACCTAATTTCTTTGTTTCAGTGTATTGATTGTTGCAAAACATTTTTTGATGACTTCTTCACGTTTTTTACAAAGAGGACTTTAACTTTAGGGGAAAAAACATCAGAGCACAGATATGGTGGGATTTAACATCTTGATGTCTGAGTCCATATTTCTCAACAGAAAAACAAGCTAGTGTTACCTGACACATTTTTTTCCAAACCACACCCAGTCCACATATTTCACAGGCAGAACTGGAGTTTTTTTTACTTTCACTTTAGCCATCTTGGTGTGAGGACACAACTGACTTCAGCAGGTAAGTAATACCTAGATACCTAAATGCTTCACCGAAAGAAAACAAGGGAAACTACTGACGTAAATACAATTTTCAATGTGAGGGAATAAGTGGTGATTTTTGTTTTGTTTGATCTCAGCTGACACTTCAGATTACTTCTAGCAATTTTGTAAAATTCTTATATGATTACATACTTTTATAGAGAACATGTCATTCCACCTCCAGAACCAGATGCTTCATGACATTCAGTCACTACTGGTTACAACAGGTAACCTTCTGTGTAATCATAAATTATATACTTGTGAGTTTTCAGTTATTTTGTTTGTATTTATTGTCCTGGTCCTGGGTCTGTGACCCAGTGAGTTGCACTGTTTATTATTTATTTCCCTCATGTTATTGCTGTCTGTATTTCTAGGTCCTAGTTTTGATCCCTTTGCTCCTCATGTTATTCTGTGCTCCCTCTGTTCTGTGTCTACTCATCCCTGCCTGTGTGTTCCAGTGTAGTCAGGTCTCTGTGTAAAGCTTGTGTCTCTGAGTCTGTGTGTGTTGAGTTTCCTGTTTTATTGTGAAGGTCTGTGTCTCATGTATTCTGTTTTACTTCCTTGTCTCGTCTTGCCCAATCAGTTCCAGCTGTTGCCACCTGTTCCTCATTCCTTCATGTTTCTGCTTGTGTATTTGTAGTGCAGTCAGCTCGTTCTCATCGCTGGTCCGTCTGTGATGTCTCCTGGAGTCTCCCTGTGTTTCCTCTGTTTAGGTTCCCTTTAGTTTCTGTGTATGCCATTCTCCGCTCCTGCTGTATCCTGCGCACCTTAAATAAAGCTCACTTGCATCATAGGCAGTGCTTCCATTTTGGGTCCTCGATCATAACTCCACACGTCTGCCGCCGCAGCCGTGACATTTGTATATATTTTTTCTTAAATAGTTTGAATTTTGAATACGTTTCGTAAAATATGTTCAGCAATTGGTAAATATGCAATGGAAATGTGTTTCAAACATAGAAAACAGCTGTAAACACTTTGATCTTTGTAGCACTCACAGTTTGTATTAAACCTTTGCATTTGGAGAAATATCACCATGTGAAACACTTTTATCTTATTTTATTAATCCAGGCACAGCTCTACTTTAAATCATACCTCTTGAACTGTCAAGTTAATCTTGGTGTAAGGAGACATTGGAGACATCAGCAGGTGAGTGAACTAGAATGAAAGTAAATTCTTCCAAATTAGATATAAATGAAGCTTGTCGATAATGTATTTAGAAAGTAAATCACTGATCTCACCCAAAACTGTCAAATTAATTATTATATCAAAATTTTAGATGAAATAATAGTACAAAGTAATACTAAGGGGCAATGCGTAGGTGATATTTTTTAAACACCAAATCACAGTTATCAGCCATATGAACATTTTCAAGCAACTTAAAGAAGTCCAGACGCTTTTCTTTCCAAGCTCCTTAGACTACGATGACCTGGATGACTGAGAACCTCTTAACTCTGAACTTTTAATATTATGTTAATATTAATGATGATTATGCATAAATTACATGCTTCTGCTTCTTCCATACTTATCACTTAATTTAAATACTAATAATTAAAAATGGCATCATAGTTAAGGTTAAGATTCTTTTTGGTTAGAAGGATTCATTTTCTACAGTCGCCTTGCTTTTGGAGTGTGTATTTGTCAGTGTTGTGTTTATAGCATCAAACACTTTCCCTCCCCTCTACAGGTCAACCAGTCTATGGTGTTTTCAGCAGAGTGACATCATGGCCTTTTCAGAATCTGGTGAGTCCAGTCATCTTCACTGAGATAACACACTGCACTGACACTTTGCAAATATTTCACAAGCACTTAGACAAAAAGAGTTTAAATATCAACATCTTTACGGGCTTGTGCACGAGTAATCACACAAGCTGGGTACAGCTTCAGGGTCAACGAAATGTCTGGGGCCTTGTGACTGACGGGATTATCTAGAACAGTGGTTCTTAACCTGAGTTCGATCGAACCCTAGGGGTTTGGTGAGTCGTCTCAGGGGTTCGGCAGAGGCTCCGCCGTGACATGCACGGCTCATTTTGTGCACCAGTAAAACAAAATCTATGTCTTGAATTTGAAAAAAAAAATCATATTTTATTTTTCACTATAGAGGGGTTCAGTGAATGCGCATAGGAAACTGGTGGGGTTCGGTACCTCCAACAAGGTTAAGAACCACTGATCTAGAACCTCCAGACTAGGACGCACTAACCCACCCCAACAACACGCAAGGTTAGCAAGGTTGGGCATACTGCGATGGGAAAAACTCCTGAAACAAGTTCTGATTTTATATAAACCCATTGAACTGGTCTGGGAGCCATCTCTATTCCACGCAGTACAACATTAAAACCACATGCAGTCTGCTGAGAAAGGCAAAACACTAGAAAGAATTAATCTGAGCACCTCCAGCGTCTCTCAATGCGCACTGGTTTCAGGTCAGTGTTTCTATTACTTAGTGAGACCAAACCATCAAAGATGAACGGCACCTTACCGCCACAACCAAGCAACTCAGGATTGGATGCTACTTTCACAAAGGCAATACCTTTAGTTTGCTGAGAATTTAATGCTTCAGGTCCAAACAGTTCACAATGACATGTCCCGGTTTATAACAACACGAAATTCATGACTCTTTTGAACCTAAAGTTTTAGCCATGCCTGCCTGCTGCACGGCACTGAGCCATGACTTCTCATTAACTGTGACAAAGGACTTATGGGTGAGCACATACTCATCAGCAAGAACAGCTGCAGTTGCTAAAGTGTTTACTTTCTGCTCATTCAAGTGTAAAACTAAACTCTCTGGAAGGCCCTTTTTAAAGTCTTCCAGTGACATCAATTCACGCAGTGATTAATAATCATTGGCTTTTAACGCAGAGTACTACTTGTCAAAAAGGATCCCTTTTTCCCTGGTAAACTCCCCATATGTTTGGGAGGGAAGTTTCCTGTTGCCGAAATTTCTGCCTGTATGCTTCAGGGACCAATTCATAGGCCTGAAAAACAGCCGATTTTAAACTGGAATAATTCAAATGTCCTGTAAAGGAAGTGTGGCCACCACCTTCTGGGCTTTGCCAGTCAGATTACACTGCAATAAAAGGGGCCATATATCACTCGGCCACTGCAAAGTCGGGGTAGAACCTGGAAGAACAGCAGAGACAGATGAGGCTTGTGGCTGAGACTCCAGCTTACGCAGCCTCACTGCTTTATCTGCTTCTGTCTCCAAGCAATGGATCTCAAGCTCTAGCTGAGCTCACCTGACCTGGGCCTTCTCCTCAGCCTCCAAATGGAGCCGTACCAGTCGCACCTTTAACCGGGCCCCAATCCATGCTTCTGAACTTCCAGAGGAGAGGTGATCATAGCCAGGGAGCGTGCGCGGTGTCTTCGCCCGCTCATCTCCCACACCATCCATACTAGAACCATCTTTATGGTCGCTCTCAAACAAGGAAGTTCGTCTTAGCTCACCAGAGCCTTCAGGCAGGTAAGAGGCTTGGATCAAACCAGCCTCCACCAACTTGTCTGCTACTAGTTATTTCAGCTTACTCTTACAGTGTTTTAAGGACACGAAGGACACGAAGCAATCCGCAGCAATTCACACTTGTGGCAGCTATCAAGGAGCTCAACAGATGGAGCAGCTAAGAACCAATCCAAACAAAATGCAGCCAACATGGTGCTCAACCAGGGAGGAGGGCAGAGGGGAAATAAAGGTAGCAAAACACAGGTTCTCACTTTTTCACAAATGGAATTCTCCTGATGGGGGAAAAGGAGCCCCGGACGAGCCCCTACTTATGTTACGACCCCCTCTGCTAGGGAACTTGGAGGAGTAACATACATAACCCCTCACACAGGAAACTAAATGAAGAAAATATTTTATTGCAGAGGCACCGTAGGGGTCTGGTGCAGTGTGTCGGGCAGCAGCCAGGAACAAGGCCCTAGCGGACTAATCCCCTGCTACCAAGACAAGAAATTGGGACATGGAATGTTCCTCTCTGGTGAGAAGGAGCCTGAGTTAGTGTGTGAGGTTGAGAGGCACCGAATAGATATAACTGGCCTCAACACACAGCTTGGGCTCTGGAACCAGTCTCCTGGAGAATGGATGGACTCTGTCTCCAGCTGGAGATGCCCTTGGTGGGAGGTAGCAGGCCGAGGTGGGTATTCTATCCCCTCAGGTTGCTGCCTATATGTTGGGTTTTTTTCCCGTGGACTAGAGGGTTTGTTCCCCGCGCCTTCGGGTCGGGGAATGGGTCCTGACTGTCATCTGCACATATGCGCTGAATGATGAGTACCCAGCCTTCTTGGAGTCCTTGGGTAAGGTGCTCCACCTGGGGACTCTGTTGTCCTACTGGGAGACTTCAATGGTCATGTGGGCAATGACAATGAGACCTGGAGGGGCGTGATTGGGTAGAGCGGCCTCCCGGATCAAAAGCCGAGTGGTGTGTTTGTTTGTTTTTTCTTTCTTTCTTTTTTTAAAAACCTTTATTTAAATGGTAAATGGCCTGTATTTGTATAGTGCTTTACTCCTTTCTGTCATCGTTGTATTTTTACTCAGTTGTATATAGTATTTGTATTCTATTTTTATCTTATTGTATATTTATTTTATTGTATTCTACTGTATATAGTATTTTATTCTATTCTGTACAGTTGTGTACTGTATTTATTCTTATTGTATTCTAATTTTTGCCTCATAACATTTGCACTGTCCACTTCCTGCTGTGACAAAACAAATTTCCCACGTGTGGGACTAATAAAGGTTATCTTATCTTATCTTATCTTAGCCCTATGCACCCCAAAGTGCTTTACACTACATTCAGTCATCCACACATTTAACCAGGAAGATCCATTGAGATTAAAAACCTCTTATTCAAGGACGACCTGGCCAAGATAGGCAGCAGGAAGAATCTCACAGTTACAAAAGTTACTCAATTAAACACAGCCAGCAGCAACACCACACATGCAAAAAGAAATAAAAATTAAAAAAATAAAAATAAAATTAAACAAAAATTCCAAATTCTGTTAAAATGACAATCAGTCTAATGGAAACAGTTTCATGGATTCTTAGTTTACATTTAAAAGCACTTAATGAAAATAATTCAGTCATTTTCCAGTCGTTCTGCAGGTTGTTCCAAGCACAGGGTTCTAAATTCAGTTCGGGCAAATGGAACAGAAAGCAACAAATAACCTTGTGCATGAAGAGGATAGTGACCAGCATGCTTCATTGCAAGCTGGGAACATATATAAGAAGGCAGCAATCCCAGTATTGCCATAGAAATAAAACTGCATAAGTGAGAGTTCCTCCGACTTGCCAAAGCAGACCATCCTACCTGAGAATAGAACTCACAGTGGTGAGTCTGAAATGTACGGTTAGTGATGAACATCAGATCAACCATTTGAAGAAATTGAGCAGCAGAAGCATTCATATATAGAATATCCCCATAATCCAGCACAGGTAAAAATGTTGCAGCAACAAGCCGCTTCTTTGTATTAAAAGAAAAACCCAGATATTTCTACGTGTGAACAAACTCTATTATATTACCCTGAAGAGTGGTTACTGATGGAATTGTTTGGGTCCATTTCCTTGATTTAGAAAACAACACTAGCTTTGTTTTGCCTGAATTGAGAACAGTTGTTGAACAACAGTTGAGTTGCTCGTTTGGCTCTCGGCGAAGGCGGTCACACTTTTCTCCTCTCCTCTCCCTTATCTTCCCTGCTTAGCTTCTTATGTCCTTGTCTTGTCTCGTGTTTTTATTTCTCCCTGGAACACTCTCTCACAGTCTGTTTCTAAAACCTAAAAGAGAATTATGGATTTGATCAACTGGTCTCTGAATGCAATTGACACACTCTTCTCAACGAGAAGCCCCGGGTCAGGAGAGCCCGAGTGCCCTGGAAGGACTTTCCCTGCCGGACACACGATGGACGGGTGGCATAACTGGAGGGTTGTGTGCCTGGCGGGACTGTCGATCGAGGACGTTAAAGATATCTATCTATTTGGAACCATGATAACAGGGTTCTTGCTGATCGGAGCTGGCTTGGCCCTGGCTTATCGAAGAATTAAGACAGCGGAACCAGCTGTGCAAACCCCCCCAAGGCTGCCCGCTGGGATTGAAATGTTGGGACAAGGTGCAACTTCTCAGAATGGGCTCCCTGAGTGCAGCATGGTTAAGATCTTGGAGAAGCTTACGGCTGCCATGAACACTCAGAATAAGACCTCTGAGTGAAAGTTGGACCACATCGTGGAGCAGCTCACTGCAGTCGTGAGTTCTCAGAATCTGCTCTCTGAGCACAAGAATGACAAGACCACGGAGCGCAAGTTTGATAACATCATGGAGAAGCTCGCGGCTCTCCAACGGGAGATTGAGAGACCAATGTCGGTGTCGGAGTGTTAAAGTACAACTTTGAAATTCTCATGAGTTGTTTGTATAAAAGAAAAAAATACCATCTAATTGCGGCTATCCCTTCGGCGCCAGCTGTGGGCTCAAGGCTGGAGCCGTACAACAACACCCTGATAACGACTGTGTTTAGACTGTTCTTCCCATTCCATGCAAGGCCACCTGGGTTGGCTGGTAGTCTGTTTACTTAGCCTGATAGGGCGAAGGACACTGTCTCAGCTGAACTATGGACACACACACACACATACACTTACACTGATAAGCACTCACTCTCCCCCCTCCCCTTCCAACGCCTTCGATGCTTGACTCCTCTTGGGGAACACGAGGCGGGTCGGGGAACACGAGGCAGGTCTGGACCCACGCTGGAGAGACGGCGCAGTGGCAGGATGGCTGCTGTGTTGCCTGGGATTACTCCTCACCCTTTACCCAACCCTGTTGCTGGTCACATGCTCCATATTGTTGTGCTGTGGACATTTATGTGCTTTTCTGTGCGGAGGAGTTTTTTTGTTTCCTGTTCTCATGCTGTCCTCCTATAGCACAGCATGAGCAGAGGTCTCTTTTTTTTCCTGTTGTACTTTCCCATTGTAGTGTACATTTCAGTGTTTTTCTGTAATGCAACCGTTCTCTGACTTGTATCCCCATGTGATGTCTGTGTTGTGTGTGTATGGTCGGGGGGCGGGTTCATTCCACTGCAGGGCACCCTGCCACTGCATATGGCGAATAAAAGCTTTAGTTTAAGCTAAAGTAATGAGTACTGGACAGGAGAAAATGTTTTCTGCAAGAAGTCAATGGCTTGGACAAGAGTTGAACCACAGCTGTAAATAACTGTGTCATCAGCATAGAAGTGCAATGTTGCATCTAGCACATTTAGACCAAGATTGTTTATGTAAATGATAAATAGAAGCGGACCTAATACAGAGCCCTGTGACACTCCGTTTATTTCTCGGACTTATGGGCAAATCCCATTTTGTCCATAACGAGTACCATGTTCGAACATAGGGGTTTCCATAGGTGCACATGGCACCAGGATGCCCTAAGTCACGGGTCGATGATGGATTTTGTAAATGTATCACTGGACCTGTAGCCATATGTTCTGGACACTCTGGTAAAGAGTTGGGATGAGATATCAGCTGATCACGACCTGGTGGTGAGTCGAATCACACGGACAGACCAAGCACACCTAAAAGTACAGTGAAGGTGCGCTGCGAATGCCAGGCAGAGGCTCCAGTCCACGAGATCTTCAACTCACAGCTGTGGCATGTGGAACGTTGGAGGCAATAAGTCAGACTCCTGGTGGGAAATGGCCTCCAGTTTGCCTGTAACAGGCCGTGGCCTAGTGTGAGCAGTGGGGATGAGAATCAACATTTTCAAATTTCCACCATGTTCCTCAGTCGGAAAAGTTTGAAGAGCCCACTCTGGGTCATGGATGAGATCCTGTCCCAAGTGGAGGATTTTACGTATCTTTAGGTCTTGTTCACAAGTGATGGGAGAAGGAAGCAGGATATTGAGAGACGGATTGGTGCTACGGCTGAAGTGATACGGATGCTGTACCAGTCCATCGTGTTGCAGAGACAGCTGAGTGTAAAAGGAAACTACCCACACCTAACTGTAACTGGGGACTGCATTTAGTAAATACGGTCCATAGTTTCACACACACACACACACTGCGACAACATGGTGAGAGATGGATGGATCAGTCGACAGTGAGATAATATTCAAATTTGATGGCAGTTGTTAGGTGTCACTTGAGTCTGTAACATTAAGTTTTCTGTCTGTGCTGATCCACCTGTAACCAACTAAAAGATATAGTCAGAAATATTTTAAAGAACATTTTTCTGGTCTATTTAGTTATTGAAAACTACGTAATGAAATGTGGTAAATAGGAGTGAGATGGACATGTGTGTTCTCATTATGAAATTTTTTTTTTCAGCACATGAACTCAGAATAATGCTGTTTGGAAAAAATGATGACAAGAAATCAGCCCTGGAAAACCTCATCACTGGAAAGAAAAGATCCATTGTGTCTAAAGTCCTTGGAGGAAGGCAATGTCACGCTGCCTCTGGAGAGTGGAACGGGAAACCGTTAACAGTAGTCAAAACTCCCGACATCTTCAGTCTGTCTGTTGATAAATTGTTAGAAGTGATGAAGAGCTGTGTGAGTCTCTGTCCTCCTGGACCAAATGTTCTGCTGCTGTTAGTGAGATCTGATTTCTCTGAAGAGGACAGAAAAAATCTGAACTTGGTCCTCAGTGTGTTTGGTCAAGATGCATTTAAGCACTCCATGGTCATCCTGACACATAATGAGAGAAAGAGTTCCTCAGTGGAAAGACTCATCAAACACTGTGATCACAGGCAGGAATATATCAGTTTTGACAAAAAAGACATTCCCATATCTTACTCAAAGTTTATGGAAAAAATGAATCAAATAGTGAGTAAAAACTGGGGAAAATATCTCATGTTAAAAGAAGAAGCTAAACCCACGAGAGTGAAGTCCAGTGTGAACCTGGTTCTGTGTGGGAGGAGAGGAGCAGTGAAGACGTCAGCAGCCAAGGCCATTTTAGGTCAGACTGAGCTTCATTCAGCCTCCAACTCATCAGAGTGTGTTAAACATCAGGGAGAGGTGTGTGGACGTTGGGTTTCCCTGGTGGAGCTGCCTGCCTTGTATGGAAAACCTCAGGAGGCAGTGATGGAGGAATCATTCAAGTGTATCTCCCTCTGTCAGGCAATCCATGCCTTCATCCTGGTCCTACCTGTGGCTCCCCTCACTGATGAAGACAAGGGAGAGTTAGAGACCATCCAGGAAACATTCAGCTCTCGGGTCAATGACTTCACCATGATTCTGTTCACCGTGGACTCAGATCCTACAGATCCAGCTGTTCTTAACTTTTTCAAGGAAAACCAGGACATCCAGAAGCTCCTTCAGACTTTTAGACAAAGACATGTGGTTCTCAATATCAAGGCTAAACAGCAGAGGGATAGTTTGGAGACCATGCTTCAGACTGTGGATAAAATGAGCCTGTCTGAAAAGAGCATGGGCAAACCACACTGTTATACAGCTATAACCTTGCTACATGCACAAATGGAGAAAGTCTTGCAACAAGAGAAAATCATTAAGAGGCAACAAGATGAAGCTAAGAAATTGAAGATGAACATGATCACAGGTAAGCACAAATATTTTTCTTAGTCTGATGTCCTACAGTCTTGACATAACAACCTATAATAATAAATATAAAACTTTATGTTTATGTTTTAGGCGATGAAGGTGGAGAACAGGACTCAGACTGTCTCAGGATTGTGCTGATTGGGAAGACCGGCTGTGGAAAGAGCTCTACAGGAAACACGATTTTAGGAAGAGATGAGTTTAAAGCTGCATCAAGTCAAATATCAGTTACACAACAATGTCAGAAATTACACGGTGAGGTGGACGGTCGTCCTGTTGTTGTGGTCGACACTCCAGGTCTGTTTGACACAAGTTTGACCAATGAAGAAATTCAAGAGGAGATGGTGAAATGTGTCAGTCTCCTGGCTCCAGGACCACATGTCTTCTTGGTGGTGATACAGGTCGGCAGATTCACAGCAGAAGAGAAGGAGACACTGAAGCTCATCAAGAAATTCTTTAAGAAGGATTCAGAAAAGTTCACCATCGTTCTTTTAACCAGAGGAGATGAACTGGAGCGTCAGGGAGAGTCTGTTGATGATTACATCAAGAACAAATGTCATATTTCCTTTAAGAAGCTGATCTCTGACTGTGGAGGAAGATACCATGTGTTCAATAACTCTGAGAAACAAAACCGCACACAAGTCAGTGATCTGATAGCAAAGATTGACACCATGGTGAAGGACAATGGAGGCAACTACTTCACCAATCAGATGCTGCAAGAGGCTGAAGTAGCGATACAGATGAAAATGGAGAGCATTCTAAAGAAGAAGGAAGAAGAGATTCAGAGAAAATACAATCAAGATATGGAAACCATTAAGCAAATCATGGAAAAAGAGAGGAAACAAATGGAACAGGAGAGACAAGAAAAAGCCAAAGAACTCCAGGAAATGGAGGAGAAAATTAGGTTCGAACAAGAGAGAAGAAGAAAAGAAGAACAAATTAGAAATGAAGAAGAAATCAATAAGAAAAAGGAAGTAGAAAGATATCGGGAGAATTTTAACAAACAGATTGAAATAGTGGATAAACAAATTCAGTCAGAAAAAGAGGAAAAGAAAAATGTCGACAGAAAGCTGGAAGAAAGCAGAAAACAAGAAGAGTGGGAGAAAGAACAGAAAGAATGGTGGGAGAAACAACGACAAGAAGAAGAGACGAGACGAGAGGAAGAGCAAAAAATCAAAGAGCTTGAAGAAAAGTACAAACAAGAAAAGCAAATATATGAAAACAAACTTAAGGAGGATCACCTCAGAAGAGAACAGGAGGAAAAGGAGAAGAAAGAACTGGAGGAGAAACATAAGAAAACCCTGGAGGAGATGAAGAAAAAACATGAAGAAGAAGCCAGAAAGCAAGCTGAAAATGCCAATGAATCCCAAAAGAAACTTGTGGAGGAATTAGCTTATCAGAAGAAAGAATATCAGAAGGAAATGAATGAGTTACTGAAACATGTCATCAAAAGGAATTCTAGTTATTACAGGATCAAGAGATTACTGGAAAAACAGGAAAATGAAATGAAGAAAGTGAAGGATGAGGATAAAAAAGAGGAACTCCAGGAAACACATGAAAAAGAATTAGTTACGCTTATGCAAGAAATCTTATCAGAAAAGATCAATGACGCATCAGCCTGCAGCGTTATGTGATAAGAAACGAACAGTTTCAGATGCTTCATTTTATGTCAGTAAAAACAAACAAAAAAGAATCAGTACTTCTTTAAAGTTCTGTATACTTCCCCATATTTTGCAGCACATAGAAAACACTTCTGCCTGGACATTCATTATTTTCTAAAGCTAAATACATGTATTCATATCCAATGAATACACAAAAAACAATCTAACAATATAAGGGTATGTTACAGAACTCCATTTGTTAGCTTACAAAAACACTAAAGACAAGTTATTATACAAGCACTTCTTCACATAATTATGTAATTTATTTCTGTCTCCAATTACAATGAACAATCACAGCAGAATTTATTAGTTCAACACAAATCTCTGATGTCAGATGCAGCCAGGCCACAAAATGAGCCGAAAAGGGGAAAAATGAATTATAATAGTAAAAACAGTCAATAAAAAAATCACAGTGGATCGACATGTTATTTGATTATTACAGTAAACAATATGGCAGAAAGCTGTAATACAGTTTTGTGTGATCATAATATACTTCGACTGCTAGTTAATAGAGACTTAATAATGAGACATGTAACTATAGTTGTGTCTAAATATGAAAAGACAGTGGTATAATACAGCTGTTATCACAACACAGTATATGTGTATCAAGTAAGACTGTACTCAGACTGGCTAATATTATATACTGTATTATTAAAGCCAAACGTGTGGATTCCCTGAGTTTTATGTCCCTGAGTTGTTAAGTAACAATATGTTCATTTATAACCATTACTACTTTCATAAATATATGTTTGATTAGTAAAGAAGGCAATTTATCATAAATGTATGAATAAACAGGCGACAGGAAAACGTCTTTAGTTTTGGTCATTAGAGACAGTTTGGTTTTCTTTCAGTAAAAAAAAAAAGATTTTTATGACTTGAATGAAATTAAATGTTTACATATAAGTCATTCTATTTTCTCTGTGACCTTTAAATTACAAATATTACAGCATTAACTTAATTTTTAATATATATTAATATCAATTAAATCAATAGCATATTGTAATAAAATGCCTTTAATGCTTTGATTTTTTTCTTTGATTATTGATTCTCCAATATGTTTTTTGTTTCATAATTAATGACATAACTGAGACTGATTTTAATGATATGTCGTTTGCTTGTTTCATATGGATTATTTGATTTTACTACAGTTCTTGTCTGTGGTTCAGTGTGGACTGTTGTTAAATGGTGAAGTCCAAAACCTTTTTTCAGTAACTTCATGTCTTTCTTGATGTTTCATCAAAGTAAACATTGAATTAATATCTCCACTTACACTGATGTATGTTTTCCATTTTAACTCCCAGATTAGTGATGATTGGTTTAACAAACTGTGTCAAAGAACCAAGATCCATAGTCATGGTCTCAGAAAAGCCACCAAAAACCGTCACTTCTGTTTTCTGCTCATTAAAATGCAAAAAGCCCAAAGCCATCCAGGCCTTTAATTTATCAAGACACCTGAGCAGGGAGTCTGCTGATAAACCATTTATCTTTTTAATGAATCCTCGAGTCATCGGCAGAATAATTGAAGACAATTCCATGTTTCCCGTGTGGTGGCAGATTTCTTTATCCTGTGTATTGTTCACATATTTTAATCATATCACATTAGTAACAGTAATATCACTTTCTCACTTAGTTGTATGCATGTGAACTACAAATGGGCCTTATGCTCTACCACACACATTTGCCACAGTGAGGCCATTGTAAGTTCATGGGAGACGTTAAACAGAGACTCCTGTTTTAGATGATGGACAAGCAGAAAACAAGGTCATAATTCTCTCTGTGAGGGAGGAGGTTTTAAGGATGGGGGCTATGGGATAGTATGTATGCGCATTACTGAATATGTATAGTAAATATGTATATCTAAGTGTGTGTGTGTATATATACATATATATAAAATTAAATTAAATTAAATCTACAGAGGTCGGCAGTTGGAAATGTGCAAAACGAGTGGCATTTATATACAGTGTGGAGTGCATAATGTTGAAGTTCTGGTAAGTGAAGGTGAGGTGTCCATGACGTGTTCAGCAGTCTGATGGCCTGATGGAAGAAGCTGTCTCTCAGTCTGCTGGTTCGGGACCCGATGCTGCAGAACCTCCTTCCTGATGGAAGCAGTCTGAACAGTTTCTGGCTGGGGTGACTGGAGTCCTTGATGATCCTCCCCGCTTTCCTCAGGCACCGCTTCCTGTAGATGTCTTGGAGGGAGGGAAGCTCACCTCCAGTTATCCGTTCAGAACACCGCACTACTCTCTGGAGAGCTTTGTGGTTGTAAGTGCTGCTGTTGCCATACCAGGTGGTGATGCATCCAGTGAGGATGCTCTCAATGGCACAGTGATAGAAGGTCCTGAGGATGCAGGGGCTCATGCCGAATCTTTTTGGTCTCCTGAGAAAGAAGAGGCGCTGCTGCGCCTTCTTCACTGTTTTGTGTCATGGTCCTGGGTCGAGCGACCCAGTGTTTGAGTTTATGTATCTTTTGTATTGATTTGTGCCTTAGCTTAGTTCACCTAGTTAATTTCTAGATTGCTGTTTAGTCTTGTTGTCTCCCCCTGTACTAAGTCTCCCTGGTTCATGCGTCATGTCTGCGTGGTTATGTTTAGTTCATGTCATGTCTGATCTCCATGTTTCCTGTTTTACTTTGAAAGTCTGCATTCAATGTCAGTGTATTTAGTTTCACCTCTCCTGTCCTGTCGTTAGGTTCATGTGTGTCAGCTGTGCTCCCATGTGTGTCATTTCACCGGTGTAAATCCAACAATCACGTGGGCAGAACTCAGCAGCTATGCACACAAAGAAACCACTGCGCCTGCAAGAGTTTCTCTTTTGCTCATGCGCTTTATCCGTGCACTTAAACTAAGAAACACACATCAGTCCTAAGAATCAGATCAAACTGTTTCTTTGTCTACTGAGTAAACCTCAATATATAATTATATATATTATATTATTGTGTCCAGCCTGTTTAATCATCAAGCACCAATTCTGTTTACATTATACATGCTTCCCTTAGGCAGCATCATTAGAAGAAATAGCATACATATACACTGCTATGCAGATGACACCCAGCTCTATCTGTCCATGAAGCCAGATAACACACACCAATTAGTTAAACTGCAGGAATGTCTTAAAGACATAAAGACCTGGATGGCCGCTAACTTTCTGCTTCTTAATTCAGATCAAACTGAGGTTATTGTACTCGGCCCTGAAAATCTTAGAAATATGGTATCTAACCAGATTCTTACTCTGGATGGCATTACCTCCAGTAACACTGTGAGGAACCTTGGAGTCATTTTTGCTCATTTTGCTTTGGCTCTTGACAGAGGCGGTCACATCTCTCTCCCTCTCCTCCCTTAGCTTTCCTGCTTGGCTTCTCATGTCCTTGTCTAGACTCGTCTAACTCTAACCTTCAGAGAGTCTCTCAGTTTTGTTCTCGAAGCCTAAAGAATTGCATGTCACGTCCTTTTTACATGGTGGAAGATGTAAAGAGGGAAGGATGTAAAGGGTGCAGGTAACTGTATGTGCAACACGCAACATGTACGTGTAACTTACTAAGATTGATTGATTGATTTTTGACCAGGATATGTCCTTCATTGTGCATATTAAACAAATATTTTCTTCCATTTGTACAATATCTCTAAACTACTAGTACCATATCACCCTATTAGAGCACTTCACTCTCCCACTGCAGGCTTACTTGTTGTTCCTAGACCTTCCAAACTACAGACCGATCTCTAACCTCTCATTATTATCCAAGATCCTGGAGAGACTAGTTCTCTCCCAGCTCCAGGCGCACTTGGACACGAACAATATTGCTGAGAAATTTCAATCTGCTTTTAAGCCACTGCATAGCACTGAAACAGCGTTGGTTAGAGTTCTTAATGATATTCTTGTAATTACTGATACTGGACGCTCTATGGTCCTAGTTTTACTGGACCTCTCTTCGGCTTTTGATATGGTGGACCATAACATCTTATTATTAAGACTTGAACACACTGTGGGTATTAGAGGCACTGCCCTCCACTGGTTTAAATCATACCTCGCTGACAGGTCCTTTTCGGTTAACTTGGGCACCTTCTTCTCTTCCTCTGCACCAGTCTGTTGTGGTGCGCCTCAAGGATCATTTTTAGGCCCTATTCTTTTCTCATTGCACCTAGAGGGAGCAAATACAATCTTTGAAAAATACAATATCGCCTTCCACTGTTACGCCGACGACAGATCTATTTTGAACTTACTGATGACCTTACTGTGTCCCTGCACTACTTTCAAGAATGCATGCGTAAGGTCAAAGAATTGTTCCTGAGTAATTCCCTCGACTGAGACTGTGGTGTTCAACAGTAAAATCCCTCGTGCCCAACTCTGTGCTGCCCTGGGTCCCTTTGCTAGCTTTTCTTGTGACTTTGTCAGTAACGTGGGTGCACTGCTGGATAGCTTGTTCAAAGTCGATAAGCAAGTGTCTGCTGTAGTGAGATCTAGCTTCCACCAACTGCGCCTTATCTCTAAGGCTAGGCATTATATTCCGCACGAGGACCTGGAGAAGCTTATTCACGCTTTTGTGACCTCCAGGTTGGATTATTGTAACTCCTTGTACTACAGTCTTCCCTCTTCTCTTCTTCTTAGACTGCAAACAGTCCAAAATGCAGCAGCCCGCCTCTTGACTGGTGCCAGGAAATTTTGCCCTATTACTCCTGTCCTAGCTAGCCTGCATTGGCTGCCCATAAAGTACCGTATTCAATTTAAAATATTACTCCTTACATTCAAAACTATTAATAAATTAGCACTGAGTTATCTTAGTGAACTTCTCAAACCACATACTCCTGCTAGAACACTCAGATCTGCCACTCAACTACTTCTTACGCAACCCAGATCTCGGCTGAAGTCTCGGGGTGACCGTGCGTTTGCTCTGGCTGCCCCGGGACTGTGGAATAACCTTCCTCTCGACCTCCGCGCATCTGATTCTATTGCACTGTTTAAAACACGACTAAAAACCCACTTATTCAGTCTTGCCTTTCCCTCTAGTTAACATTTCTTTTATGATTTTATATTATGCACTTTTATGCTCATTTAATTCCTTGTTTGTTCTGTATCTGTTGCTTTCCTGTGTGTCAGTGACAGCTATCTGCTTGCATACCTAGTACTTGCTTTGGTCCTATTTCTGTTATCTTCCTTTTATTCTCTATGTTACTTGGCATACCCTTGGTTTTAAGTGTGCTTTATAAATAAAGTTCGTTATTATTATTATTATTATTCTCATTATTATTTAAAAGTAGAATGGGAGGCAGAGCCTTCAGTTTTCAGGCCCCTCTTCTGTGGAACCAGCTTCCAGTTTGGATTCAGGAGGCAGACACTATCTCTACTTTCAAGATCAGGCTTCAAACTTTCCTTTTTGCTAAAGCATATAGTTAGGGCTGGACCAGGTGACCCTGGATCCTCAATAGGCATATGCTGCTGGGGGATTCCCATGATGCATTGGGTGTTTCTCCTTCACTCAACTTTTTTGTTTGTTTTTACCTCTCTGCATTTATTTGTTAGTTATAATTAACTTCTGTTCCTCCCCTCACCTGAACCCGTCGCAGCAGATGATTTTAGTGATATTTGTAATAATCTGATAAACAATTTTTCTGTGTTTTAATGAATTATCGCTCATCAACAGCTCCTGTTAGAACCAGTGAGGAACAAAAGTTGCTCCATGCAGGAAAGCTGTGTGTTAAGCTGTGTGCAGCAGATCACACATTTTCTAAATGTTCACCATTGGTCAGGCATTGCTATCAGCGTAAGAAGGAGACAGAAGAAAATACAAAGTTTATAAATTCTTCTTTTACTCGAGCAAACCAAGTAGAAACAGAGAGCATGTTTCTCTCATAGTTAGGAGCTTGAAAGAAGTGACTGAACGGGTGGAGAGTCTCAGGTATTTAAACCCTAGTGGGGGTCGTCCCTTAAGAGGTGGTTCTTAACCCACTATTAACCATGTGTGCCGTCACATGAGTCAGGCGTAGGTCATTACCTGTTTCCTGCCTTCTCTGTATAACTGTAGAGCCTACAAAATTAAGCACTTTGAGGCACCTGTTGTTGTGATTTTCTGAAAATGAATAAAGTTGAGTTGAATCCAATTCAATTAAGTACACGTGTGTACTACATGTGATGTTTTATATACTGTACCAGCCATGATAGAAAGAAATAAGATGTTGGTACATATTTAACATAATTGGACTTGATGTGTAAAGCGCTTTCGGTGTTATGTGACGGCTGTGTGCAGGCAGGAAAAGGACCCAAGGTGCAGACTCCGGAGACAAAACTTGAACTCAAAACAGCTTTAATGCTGAACTCAAACAGGATAACAAAACTGAGACTACA